AAAGTTGTCATACGGGGGCTCCGGCGTGGTTGTGATGGGCCTGCCACATCAACTCTCGGAGGTGGAGGAACCGCAGCTGCCTCATCATCAGCTGAATCATCATCAGAGTCATCAACATTCACCAACGGCTCTCGTCCAATTCCAATTTTTTTGCCTGGAACGGGGCTTTTAGTGGCAATCTCCCATCAACCCGAGGGTCTTCAGGGACTCTAGCAATACGGCACAGTCGGGTGATCAGCGAAGGGAAGTAGTGGCCCTTGGTTATCTCAGGTGATCTAATGAACATCTCTTCATGGATGAGCCGGGCCACATCAAAATCATTGTGGGACATGAAACAGTGGATTGAGGATACCCGTGGTAGATTAACATCTGTCGTGTTGCTGGATGGCAACAATCGACTGTTGACAATGGTGAGCCAACACTTAGCCTCCCAATTCAGACAGTGGGAGTTGAGAGTAATCCTGTGCTTGATCCATAGGTGTTCTCTGTCCGACACACAGATAGTATCAAGAAGAGTTCCCCATAAGGCCCGTGTACTGCTAAAAGTACGATAAGTATCAAATTCACCCCGAAACATTGGCAGCATGTATACCCTGCGGATGGTGTCGAGGGATACATTTACTGGAGTACTGCGAACCATCAAACCCCATTCTCATGTTCTAGCAAGTTCGCATAGAACTCCCTTACTAGTTGAACATTAGCCTCCCCCGGTACCTCGAAGAAGATGTCCAGCTGACACCGCCTCAGCTCATTAAACATATTGGGGCATTCCACCTCCAAAACTGTGCGATCAATGTGCACCTCATGTTGTAACTTCTTAGTTGCTTTCTGGTTGTACCTATCCTCCACTGCTCTGGATACAAACCGAGTGCTATCGAATTGAGGTGCACTGGCTTGGCTCCAAGCTCGTGAGGAGCCTCCCGGTCCACTAGTGGAGGTCCCGATGTTTCATCTCTTTCTAGCTGAACTCATTACATCTGTCAAATAACGAAACGCCTATTAGTGAGTGCGCAAAATATGTGACTATGGATGGTTACTCAGACTTCACCATAACCATGTCATAATAGCTCATTATATCTCCATTGGGGCAATTTCCCAAACATCTTGTGGGCGGGGCATTATCCAAACATATTTATCCCTCATGAGTCTATCAAAACACCTCCCAATCAAGTATACAATACACCAACACACTCCACACTTGTGTCTTTCGATTAATTACACCCACCAACAAACATCGTTCCAAACATTAATTACACAGCCCCTTCACCAAACATTCTCATACACGAAATTAAAATAGAAAAAACAAGCAGAAGAAACTACAAAAAAATCTACTACAATTACAACACCATATCAACATAAAACTACATAAGCTACAATACAATACAACACAAAACCAGAGAAAAGAGAGAGGAGAGGTAAGTACATACCTTAGTTGAAGAATGGGTAAGAGGAATGGCGGTGGGGGATGTTGATATGAGTGAAGAAGAAGGAGAAGAAGAAGGGATTTGGGGGTTAGGGTTGTGAAGAGAGGGAGATGAAGAATTAGAATGAGAAGGGGGTGCTGGTAATTTTGATATTTGGGGGAGGTGGGTTTTGTTATAATAGGGGGTTATTAAATTAAAAGAAGAGGAAAAGAACAAGTAAAATGGAAAAAAATGAAAAATACCTAGTACCCACGCGGTCCACCGCAGCCGCGGTGGGTTTAAAATCGTGAGACAGAAAGTTTACGCCTCACCGCGGTTTACCGCAATCCATCGCGGTCGCGGTCTGATGTAAAATTTGAGGCAGAGAGTTTGCATTCCATCGTAGTTTACCGCGGTCGTGCCGCACTCGTGGTGCTGGCGTTGTTTTTTTTTATGAACACACTAACAACAACATTCGTGGGTTGCCTCCCACGCAGCGCCTGATTTAACATCGCGGCACGACGCAAGCATTTGATCATCACTCTTCATTCGCGTACTGGGGCTCTTCCAAAGTGATTACTACTCTATCCCCTTTTTCTTCAGCCATTCCAAGGTATTGTTTCAACCTTTGCCCATTTACTGTGAACTTATTTTTCCTATCTTCTAATTTAATCTCGACAGGTCCACTTAAGAATATTTGCACCACTCTGAAGGGTCTTAATCATCGAGACTTTAACTTACCCGGAAACAATATCAATCTCGAGTTGTAAAACAACACTAAATCTCCGAGTTTGAAGTTTCGATCCAAGATGTTCTTATCATGCATTAATTTCATCCTTTCTTTGTATAATCTAGCACTCTCAAAGGCCTGGAACTTGAATTCCTTGAGCTCATGTAACCCAGTGATTCTGTTAGTACCTGCTGTCTCCATGTTTAAGTTTAACTGCCGCAATGCCCAAAGTGTTTTATGCTCTAGCTCAATTGGGAGGTAGCATGCCTTGCTAAATACCAACTTGTATGGTGACATACCAATTGGGGTTTTGAAGGCTGTGCAGTACGCCCATAATGCATCATCCAATTTCTTTGCCTAGTCAGTCCTTGTTGCATTCACTATTTTTGTGAGGACACTTTTAATCTCCCTGTTGGATGCTTCAACTTGCCTGCTCGATTGTGGATGGTAAGGGGTGGTCACTTTATGACGAACTTCATATTTTTCCAACAGCCATGCGAATGCTCTACTGCAGAAATGGGTTCCGCCATCACTGAGTATAACTCTTGGGGTACTAAAACGTGTGAAAATGTTCTTCTTTAGAAAGCCTAGTACCCCTTTAGCATCATTGGCCGAAAGAGCCACTTCTTCGACCCACTTGGAGACATAGTCAACTGCTACCAATATGTACTTGTTACCATACGAGCTAACGAATGGCCCCATAAGTTAATCCCCCACATGTTAAAAGTCTCCACCTCTTGAATTGTGGTTATTGGCATCTTGTGTCTATGAGATATGTTGCCAGTTCTTTGGCATTCATCGCAGCTTTTAACCCAAGCATGGGCATCCTTGAACAGAGTAGGCCAGTACAAGCCTGACTCCAACACCTTAGTTGTTGTCCGAATTCCTCCAAAGTGTCCACCATATGGTGAAGCATGGCAAGCCTGCAAAACAGAATGTTGATCTTTCTCGGGGATACACCGCCGGATCATGTTATCTACACATATTTTAAACAACAGAGGTTCATCCCAATAATAATACCGACAATCACGAAAGAACTTTTTCTTTTGTATTAAGGAGAGTTCATAAGGTACAATACCACTTGCTAAATAATTAGCATTATCAGCATACCATGGTGCCTCCTCCATTGTCATTTCCAGTAACTGATCATCCGGGAATGTCTCTGTTATATCCTCAACCTCTACCTTCTTTTCAGCTCCTTCCAACTGTGAAAGATGGTCAGCTACTTGGTTCTCTCTCCCTTTTCTATCACGTATCTCCAGATCAAATTCTTGCAATAGAAGAACCCAACGAATCAAGCGTGGCTTTGACTCTTTCTTTTCTACCAGGTACCTAATTGTTGCATGGTCAGTGTAAACCATAACCTTCGAGCCAATCAAGTATGCCCTGAATTTGTCGAATGCAAAAACGATAGCCAACATTTCCTTTTCCGTCACGGTGTAATTGAGTTGTGTACCGCTTAGCGTTCTGCTTGCATAGTAAATCGGGTGCATCAGTTTATCCTTTCGCTGCTCTAAGACTGCTCCTATGGCATAGTCACTTGCGTCGCACATGAGCTCAAATGGCTGCTCCCAGTTGGGTGCAAAAATGATGGGTACAGTCACCAATCGCTTCTTCAGCTCCTCAAATGCCAACCTACAATCATTAGAAAACACAAAGGGGTGATCCTTTTCAAGGAGTTTGCATAATGGGTTAGCAATTTTGGAGAAATCTTTTATGAATCGCCTATAGAACCCGGCGTTCCCAAGGAAACTTCTCACCGCCTTGACTGAAGAGGGCAGTGGTAGTTTTTCAATCACGTCAATCTTAGCATGGTTGACCTCAATTCCTTTACTGGACACTCGATGCCCCAGGACTATCCCTTCCTGAAACATAAAATGGCACTTCTCCCAGTTCAACACTAAATTTGTCTCCACACATCTTTTGAGCACTCTTCTTAAGTTGTGAAGACAGACCTCGAATGAATCTCCCACCACGGAGAAATCATCCATAAAGACCTCCAAAATATCCTCCACCATGTATGTGAAAATGGCTAACATGCACCGTTGAAATGTCGCTGGTGCATTGCAAAGCCCAAAAGGCATTCTCCGAAAGGTGAAGATGCCATACGGACAAGTGAAGGATGTTTTCTCTCTATCTTTGGGGCTATTGATATATGATTATACCCCGAATATCCATCCAAGAAACAGAAGTGCGATCTCCCGGCCAGCCTGTCCAATATTTGGTCACTGAAAGGCAAGGGTAAGTGGTCCTACCGGGTGGCTGTGTTCAATTTTCGGTAATTCATGCAAATCCGCCATCCCGTGACTGTACGAGTTGAGATCAACTCATTGTTCTCATTTTGCACAACAATCATTCCCCCTTTTCAGCACACATTGGATAGGGCTGACCCAATTGCTATCAGAGATGGGGAAGATGATTCCCGCATCTAACCATTTGATCACTTCCTTCTTTACTACCTCTTTCATGTTCGGGTTCAACCTTCGTTGATGTTCTCTAGAAGGTTTGTGCCCTTCTTCCAAGAGAATCTTGTGCATATAGAAGGCTGGGTTGATACCCTTTATGTCTGCCATGGTCTAGCCAATGGCAGTCTTACTTTCCTGCAGTACCTGTAAGAGATGTTCTACCTGCACATCTAGCAAACCGGATGATATAATAACATGCAAAGTAGAATTAAGTCCTAAGAAAACGTAGCCGAGGTGATCTGGGAGCGGCTTCAGCTCCAGCTTGGGTGGTTCTTCTACTAATGACTTTGCTGGAGCTGTAGCCCTTTTTTCTAACTCAAGGGACTCGAACTGAGGTTCCCTTTTCCAGAATCCTTGGCCTTCTAGTGCCATGACCCACTCAGCTAACCTTTCACCATCCATCTATTCTAAATTTGTCAAACATGCCTCCAATAGATCTTTAGTAGTCAGGGTCACATCATCTTCTTGTAGGATCACATCCACTGCCTCCACTAGAGAGCAATTAGCATATTCACTGGGTCTCCTCATAGATTGTTGAACATTGAATATGACTTCTTCATCGTTCAGTCTCATTTTTAATTCCCCAGTCTCACAATTGATCAGTACTCTCCCAGCGGCCAAAAATGGCCTACCTAAAATGATAGGTATCTCCTCATCTACCTGACAGTCTAGAATAACAAAGTCTGCAGGGAACACGAACTTCCCCACTTGCACCAACACATCATCAAGAATCCTAGTAGGCCTTTTTACCGTGCGATCAGCCAATTTCAGCAGCATCGAAGTCGATCTAGCTTTGCCAATGCCCAATTTGGTGTATAAATCCAGAGGCATCAAATTTATGTTGGTTCCCAAATCACATAATGCCTTTGCAAAGGTATAACTCCCAATCGTGCATGGAATAGTGAAGCTACCTGGGTCGGGCATCTTTTGAGCCATCGGTCTGGTCACTACTGTGCTGCAGGTCTACGTTAGAGTCACTATGGATAGGTCTTGAAAATCAAACTTCCATGACATTAGGTCTTTCATCATCTTCGCATAACCTGGCATCTCCCTGAAGGCATCCATCAAAGGAATATTCAACTGAATTTGACGCAGCATCTCCATGAATTTCTTGTATTGATCTTCCTTCCATTGTTTTACCAGTCTCTGAGGGAATGGTGCATGTATCACCCTTTGTGCACTGCTTTCTAGCTTCTCTCTATTGGGGTTCTGTGGTACAAGAGGCACCACCTGTTCTGCAGCTTGTTCATTTACCTTAGCCTTACCCTTTTCATCTTGACCTTGTTCAACCACCACTTCAGTCAGATTTGATGGTTCATCTACCTCTAGTGGAATTGGAGTGGCTGGCGTAGTCTCTTTGCTGGCTTGTGCAACCTCCTGCTCTTTGTCTAAATCTCTCCTATTCCGGAGACTTACTGCCATCAGCGGATTCGGGTTTTGCTCCTTGGGGTTAATATTTGTGTCCGTTGGCAATGTTCCCTGGGGGCGGTTGTTTAACTCCATAGACAACTGCCCCAACTGAGTTTGAATGTTCTTTATAGCTGAATCATGTACTGCCAAATTTTCTTGCATCTTACCATTTGTCCCAATGATTTGCTGGAGCATCCCCCTGATCTCTACCATGTTGTTATCTTGTTGTTGAGGAGGTGGCTGATATGTCAACTGTTGCTGGTTCTACTGTGGGTAGCCCGATTGTCTCTAGTGGTATGGCACCATTTGTCCTTGAACTTGCATGCCCCCAGGCCGAGGCATGTTGGGTCTGTATTGCTGATTTAGTGCTGATCTCCACTACTGTCCTCCTTGTCTCTGACCCCCAAAGTTGTTAACATAATTCATGTCTTCCCTTGCCCCTTGATTTTCACTTCTTCGCTCCATGAACACACATAAGACTGATTAACACAGGGTGTACACAGTCCTCCATTTGTCGTGTCAACAATATGCACCTGTTTCATACCCATCTCATCTATCTTCTTTGTCAAAATACTCATCTAAGTCATAAGTGTGGCCATGTTCTCTGCATGCGAATTATTTGGGTCAAGAGGAACTGAATGCACTATGGGTGCTAGTGTTGTACCTCTAGTCATCCACCCTGAATTCTGGGACATCTTGTCAAGAAGGACTTTGCACTCGGTGAATGTCTTACTCAAAAATGCACCTCCAGCTGAAGCATCCACATTGGCCTTTAAATTATCAGCTAAACCCATGTAGAATCTCTGGACAAGCATCTAGTCTGGAATGCCATGGTGAGGACACTTTACCAGAATCCCTTTAAATCTTTCCCAAGTTTCTTGCAAGGTCTCAGTCGGTTGCTGCTTGTACTACAATATTTCATCAATCTGCCTTGCAGTCTTGTTGGACGGGTAGAACTTATTCAGGAACTGCTTTACTAATTCCTCCCAGGTGACAATGGAATTGATTGGGAGTGAATTCGGCCAAGTCTGAGCTTCCCCAGTCATAGAGCACAGGAACAGTAATAGCATGATAGCTTATAGGGTCACATTTGGTTGCCTTTGAGTCACACAAATTGACAGAAAGTTTTTCAAATGTTGCTGAGGGTCTTCAATGTGTGACCCGGAAAATAATCCTTTATTCTGTAGCAGATGCAGCATGTTGTTGGTGATCTAGAATGTCTCCGCTTGAATTGCGGGCAAGAAGAATTACCCTATTTATGATTTGGAGTTGGCTTCCATTGTCCACGTGTTGAAGATTTGGAGGCATTATCTCTATGGTATGTCTTGTGAGGTGTTTATTGATCATTGTAGCCTCCAATATTTGTTCAAGCAGAAGGATCTCAATTTGAGGCAGCGGATATGGTTGGAGCTGCTAAAGAATTATGATATAACTATCCTGTACCATCTGGAGAAGGCCAATGTAGTGGCCAACGCCTTGAGTAGGAAGGCGGTGAGTATGGGCAGTTTGGCGTATATTCCTATTGGGGAGAGACCTCTTATAATTGACGTTCAGGCCTTGTCCAATCGGTTTGTGAGGTTGGATATTTCGGAGCCTAATCGATTCTTAGCTTGTGTGGTTTCTCGGTCTTCCTTGTTTGATCGCATCAGAGAACGTCACTATGATGATCCTCATTTGCTTGTCCTCAAGGACAAAGTTCAGAACGACGATGACAGAGATGTGACTATTAGTGATGATGAGGTATTGAGGATGCAGGACAGGATATGTGTGGCCAATGTAGATGGGCTTTGGGAGTTGATTCTAGAGGAGGCTCATAGCTCGCGGTATTCCATCCATCCGGGTGCCGCGAAGATGTATCAGGATTTGAGACAGCACTATTGGTGGAGGATAATAAAGAAGGATATTGTGGAATTTGTAGCTCGGTGTCTCAATTGTCAGCATGTGAAATATGAGCATCAAAGACCGGGTGGCTTGCTTCAGCGGTTAGAGACTTGCTTCAGCGGTTAGATATTCCAAAGATGAAGTGGGAGCGGATCACCATGGATTTTGTTGTTGGACTCCCACGGATTTTGAGGAAGTTCGATGCTATTTAGTTGCCAGGTTGTCAGCTGTGGGTTGAGCCCAATCATAAAGTGCAGCTTCTGGCATAAGATGTGCCACCACTCTGACGTTTGGGTCAGCTGGCTCATCCCTGATGTTTTCGTTGACGTTCTCTACGTCACCCATGTCAATTTCAAACTGGTGGGGTTGTTCTGATTGTTGGATTCTCTTGTTGGAACAGTTCAATGCCCTGAATGTTTTCTCGGGGTCTGAAAGTCCTTCAAGCAGTTCTCCAGTCCTCGAAGAATTTCTATGCATACACATGAATTCCACAAGAGTTCAAACGTCAGAATTTCAAAGAAAATTGTTTAACACCTTTGGAAATTGATTTGAACTAATAATTTTAACACTACTTCTAAGTTGTAATAAATAACACCGTTAGTTCCCCGGCAATGGCGCCAAAATTTGATAACGCCCAACTATGCCTTTTAAAGGACAAAGTAGTCGCTGCAAATATAATCTGATTTTAAGTCCAAAATCGAATCCTCAGGGAACTAACCTATCTATTGCATTCTACGGCAATGTTATTATCAACTCAATCAATATCTAGATGCAAGATTTATGATCAATAAAGATTGTGTTTTTTTGTTTAACTACTTCAACTACTATTAAAAACAACAGTAAGCTAAAACAAAGATAATTCAATGGTAAAAAGGTCTAGGGCGGTGATTTCCCCAATTGCTTGTTTAGGTCTTGACTCTTCTGCTATAATCTTGTCGTAATATTCTATGAGGATTAAGAGTTATGGGTTATCATAATTATCTATCGATCAACTACAATAATTTACTAGAGCATTCTCTCGAACTACTCTAGCTGACAATAGTTATGCAACTCTAAATTATCCCACCAAAGTTTTGTTATCTCTAAACCCAATTTTAAGTTCAAGTAATGAATCTCTTCAATTACCCAAAAGTGGTGTTATTCAACAGCTATCTAACCTAATATTCTCTCTCATGTAATATAAGTAATTAGACATGATTAATCAAGGTCCCATTCAATTAATCACCATACAAAACGTAGTTGAACAATCATATCATAAATCCGGCTCGATTATAACAGCTTGAGTCAAAACTTCAACCAACAATTAGTTCCATCAACCCTAGATAAGTACTTAGCTACTCATAACAAAATAAGAGAAAACTACTAAATTGTTCATAATGTAAAATTGCAAGAACTAAAAGGAGATAGAAAAACTCTAATGTTTGGTTGATCTTCTCACTCTTGTTCTTGCCTCCAAAAGTAGTCTAAAACCAACTTAGCACAATTTTGGGCGAGTTTTTAAAGCATATAAGGGTTTTACAAAATTTTCCCTGATTTTACACTTTGTTCCTCAAGCTTTCCAACAGCGTGAACAGTGCACCGCGGTCGCGGCCAGCCGTGGTCGACCGCGTTGAATGATGACCTTTCTGCCTTACGTTATTAATCTACCGCGGTTCACCGCGGTGGCCTTCTTGCCCAGACCATTTATTCTTCTTTGTGTTCGGGTACTTCTCGAGTGGGCATTTTTCTTCACATTATCGCCTCCAAAACACTCCATGTTGCTTCCTCTCATATAATATTCCCTGCTAAACAAAAGAACATTATTTAGAGCATTTTGTTGGCAATTTATCTATAAAATAACAACAAATTATGGTCATATTAAGGTGTAAATATTAACTATATAGCCTACTATCAGCCTATAAATACCAAGTCGGGGGAGAGAGTAGTTTGACTATTGGGGGTTAGGGTTCTTAAGGTGAAGGGGCGATTTTAAGCTCAAATAAAGTCCAATCGACCAAGGTAAGTTGTTAATATTATTTTGGGTTGATTCTTACTCAATATACATCAGTTCTAACATCATTCTAACATTCAAATTCTAGATTTCATCGTCAAATCTCAAGCATACAAAAATCACCAAAGTTGTGATTTTTCAAGATTGATTTACTCTAGGTAATTTCAATACTTCAAACTAGTTTATTATGAGTAGTTAGAAGTATTTGAAGTATCTGTTACAAGTTTTATTGGTTGAAAGATTGGATTATAAAACTCTTGTTCATGGCATGAATAGTACTTTTGAGAAAATAAGAGAGAAAATGAATGGTGAATCTTGGCGATGAAATTGATTGAATACAATGAACCTATGGAATTATTTGTTAGCAAAAGATGGAGGTGATCAACTAAGTAATCATCCGAATTGTATATTGTGCAAGTTTTGATTATGGAAGATGATGAATAGTAACTTGGTGGCATTGGACAATTGATGTAGTATTATTAATGATTTCGAATGGGTATTAAAATATAAGGATGAAGTTGAATGGTATAGCTTGTTAATCTATTTGGCGATTTGAGTTGTTGGAGGCTTGTAGCCAATTTATGAGTCATATATGGATATTGATTAATATCTTAGGTCATATTTTGATGTAACTAAGATATCTAATTGTAGATAT